ACACACACACACACACACACACACACACGGGATTAAAAGCCCAAGTCTCTGAATGAGAACAGTTGGCATGCCACCAATTCAGTGCCAACCCTCCCAGAAAGCCCTGACCGCCTGCCCTCCCTCTGTGCTCACTGGGGTTGGCTGGGGTGGAATGTCATTTGGCAGCCCCAGCCCTTCCTTTATTAGTGACTTTTAATTTTTTTCTTTGAGACATACAACACAAATACAGAAATACGCATACTGCATCAATAAATAGCTTTCCCAAAGATTCTAAAACTGATATCCACGTGCCCTTTATACAGGTGAAGAAACAGGAATTTATCAGCACCCATCCCCACTGTCACTTGGTATTGTTCCACCTCATGACGACTTGGTGTCTAAGAGAACAAAACAGTGTCCCGCCCTGTGACACCTTCACCGTCATTGGTGTGCTTGCGTTCACAGGTGTGGCTTTTGTGTCCACTCGTCACATTGAGGGTTTCATTATTGTCAGCAGCCTCTGTGTTTTTTTCGGACCTTTTCTGAAGATGTATCCAAAGGAAGTGAGCCCGTGTCACTCTCTTCACTTCCAAAGAACATTCTCACAGTATTTTTTCCTAAGATTTGATTTATTTGTTCTTCTGGCAGTCCATGGTATCGTCGACATTCTTTGCCAACCCCGTGCTGTGAACTCTCGTTCTTCTGTCTTTTTCCCCGTCCAGTTTCCGACGTATCGGAGGTGGTATAGAGACCATGGCTTGGGTCTGGTGCCCCTTTAGGCATCAAAATGACAACTGCTTTTTAAAGCTTAAAACAAGAATTTTGTTTGTCCAGTGCCAATATGCCACTTGATTTCTTGTGTAGAAAATCACTGACCAGTCGGCTTCATGTGTCCTGGTGTTGCTCAGCAGGCCAGCTGTGAGGTTTTCATGGTACGCCTCCCGACTTGCCCTTTCCCGTCACACGCTCCTCCCTCGTCCCTAGAGGGCACCACTTTTGCAAGCTTATGATCCTTGTTACTTTGCTTTCTGGGCTTTGCCTTCTAAGCATGCTCCCTTACACACACACACACACACACACACACACACACACACACACACACGTTTGGTTGTGCCCGGTTCTGAACTTTATACATTATGTACAAGGTGGCTTCAAAAAGTGTGGAAAGATGGAATTAAAAAGATAATGGGATTTTTTCCCCACAAATTTTTTGAAGCCCCTTTGTACTGACTTCTCTGAGTCTGGCTTCTCTGCTCAACAGATTATCTATGAGATTCATCCTCTTGCTGTACTACATTTTTTATTCTAAACATCCTTTAGCTATTGGAAGAGTTCTAGAGAATTTATGTTCATAATTAGTACATTCTAATGACTGGCCTTTGTGAGTTAGTCACTAAACCCATTGCTATCTAGATGACCCTGACTTAAATCAGCCCTATAGGGCAGAATAAAATTGCCCCATAGCATTTCTATGGCTGTAATCTTCTTCATCTACCCCCCCACGCCTCCATAACATTTTATTGAGTTTTTAGTAAAAGTTGACATAGCCAACTTAGATCCCCATTTGGTAATCTCCACACCAACTGTTCAGTGACAATGATTATATTTATTACTTTTACGCTACCCTTTAAATTCAATTCAGCATACTTTTATTCAGCACCTTCTAGTATGGGTTACGGTTGTGGGTAAATCTTGGCTCCAAAGAGCTAGCAGTCTAGTAGGGGACCTGTGATGTGTGTCCAAAAATGGAATCACGAGGCAAACAGAGCCAGACACCGCCCTGCAGGTATGAACCACCTGTGTCAAAGGAGCAGGGGAAGAAGAGACAAATGGTCTTTCTGTCTCTCTTTCTTTTTTACAGGGGCGTTTCCCACATTTGGGGAAATCGCAGGAGTCAGCACATCGTGAGTGCAATGGATAAACTCACCCTGGGAAAACCACCTTCTTGATCCTGGTATCTTCCCTACCAGCTAAGTAAGTGGTCTTCCTTTCCGAAGCTCCCCTACTCTTTCCTTTGATTTAAACTGAGCTAGGTTAGGACTCTGTTCATTTGCTACGATCACTGGAGCTTCCAATCCTGAGTTTCCTCACTGAAGCTCTAGCAAGTGAAGAACTACAAAAGCGAGCGGGGGACCGAGGAGGAAGAGGAGACAAGGAATGGTGACAACTGTGCGTGTCGTCTTTCGATGAAGACTGACAGGGACTTTCCACAAGTGAGACTCGCTGCTTCTCTTCCAACTTCAACCCTGCACAAAACTGACCAGGGCTCTAGGGGACCTCATGGGAAACAAAAGGAAGGGGAAGTTCCAAGTTCCTAGGCAGATCAACAGATGGAATGTCAGTCAGGACACCATGAACAGACCAGCAGAAAAAACTCCAAGGGTGGCAGTGACCCAAGACCAAACCCGGGTCAGGCTGCCCGAGGGGAGTTTTCAGCTCACCTCTGCTAACTTAAGAGTCACCCATTCCTTGATCTTCGCAGCCTTTTCTTGAACAAGTTTTGCTTCCTCAGCTCTCATCCGCTTCTGTAGGAAAGAGGGTCTTCAGTTAATGACAGCAGGTGCTCATAAGAGTGGATGGTGTAAATGGGAAGCCCGAGAGACCGGATGCTGGGGGTCATTAGGAAAGCAGTAAAGGGTGAAGTTCAAAAATGATATGCGAAGTGAGAGATGCCAACCATGAAAGGCCACACTGTCTGATCCACTGATAGGAAATGCCCAGAGAGGCAACCCCCAGAGACAGAAAGCACATGGTTACTAGGGCCTGGAGGGTGAGGCAAATGGAGAATGACTGCTTAATGGAGATGGGGTTTCTTTCAGGATGCTCTGGAACTACACAGAGGTAGGCGCTGCACACGGCGTGAATGTACTAGATGCCACGGAATTGCTCACTTTACAATGACTAACTTTATGCTATGTGATTTTTACCTTCATTGAAAATGGAAGAAGGATTCATGAGAGGAAAGAGTAATCTGTGTCATAACTATAAGTTATTATATGATCAAAACAACAACAAAAAGAATCCCTTCAATTCAAAAGACCAATGGTGGGGGCGGGTGGGCAAGCATCTGTAACCAAAACAACATACGAGTTGGTTTGAGATGAGCTATCCAATAAATGTATGCAGAGGCGATGAACAGAAAATCAACAGAAGAATAAAGGGGGGAAAGACCCCAAAAGCTATTTACCCTCAATCCCAACTTGAGGAATGGGGACAAAGGCAAGACAGCATTTTAGTCTATCAGAATAACACAAGTTAAAAGTTAGATTATCACCCCACCTGGTCAAGAAGTAACCCTTTCACAAATGGACAAAGACTTTTGGAGGGGCAGAGTCCCTGGACCTAGAATCTGCTTTTGAGAGATCAGTCCTGGGAAGATGTATAGAGCCCTGTGAAAGCAGGCTGACACCCATGGGTGGAAATCAACTTGATGACGGCAACTTTTTTTTTTGGAGGACAATTTGAGAGTGTCTGCCAACATTTTAAATTTACATACCACTAACCTAACTACCCGATAGGTTGATAGGGAATTGTCAGTTGCAACATTATTTGATAAACCAAAAGCAAAACAAAAACTCAACACTGGAAATAACCTCATTGTTCCCCAGAAAGGGTTTGGTTAGATAAGCATGGTACACCCACGTAACGGAATGCTATGCTTCACTCCACAGAGACAAGGTTTCCAATGTCAAGAGAGGAAACAAAGGGGTGGGGAAGGAAAGGCTTTGTCATTTTACAAACTTCTGGTGTCTCTGTATTTTTTATTACAAGTATGGATTATTTTTTAAAGTTATATATTTCTCCCAAATACACAAAAGAGAATATAGGTGATTAGACAGGAGATTTTGGAACCTAAAGAACAGCAGTCTAGAATAGAGTAAAAGTCTGGGCTTTGAGAGAGGAAGGCACTTGGCTGCCAACTGAAAGGTTGAATGTTCCAGTCTACCCAGAGGCACCTCAGAAGAAAGGCCTGGCAACGTGTTGAACAAGGAGCCACAGGAAACCCAAAGGAGCACAGTCCTATTCTAACACGCATGGGTTTGCCAGGAGTTGGGATCTTCCCTACTCAACTGGGATAGGCTTTGGCGCTTTAACCCACCCCCGCAGGCCTGTTTGCTTGGGACATCTGGGAAGAAACCTAACTCCTCTGGGCATGCACCTTCATGTCTACCCTAGAGGAGAGTACATCTGCTGTGGAGCTGCGTGGAGGATAACTTGAGAGTGCACAGCACGTGCCTGACACAGAGGCGATCGACCAGCTCTGAGTGAGTGGTAGAGCCTAGCTCAAAGGCCTGGAGATAATGGATACGTGCTGGTTACACTCACAGCAGAAACTTGTCTGATAACTGCAGGGTGCTGGACCTGTGCTCAAACAAGGGCTTCTGAGGAAGTGAGGTGGAAGATGAAAAGTTCAGATTCTCAAAATCTCAGTGTTGGAAAAACCTTAAAGGTTCAGCCGTCGACCAGTCATTGCCCATCCAGTCATTATTTTCTGCTTACTTTTGTAAACAAACCATTTAGTAGTGGAAACTAAGGACATAAGCCATGGCCATTTCATTCTGCAATGCCGACGTCTGCTTCTGCATTACGATGGCAGAATTGAGTAGTTGTGATAGAGAAGACCGTGTGGTTCAAAAGTCATATATATGAAGGGGCTTCACAAGAGCCCTGGTGGCATAGTGGATCAGTGTTGGGTTGCTAACCACAAGGCCAGCAGTTTGAAATCACCAGCCGCTCCGAGGGAGAAAGACAGGGCTTTCTACTCCTGTTTAGAGTTACAGTCGCAGTTCTACCCTGCCCTATAGGGTGACCATGAGTCAGCATTGACTCAATGGCAGTGAGTTAAAAAAAAAAAAAGTTTGTTGAAAACTTCCACCCTCTCTTAGTTCCATTTTTACAAGACCCTTTGAAGCCCCCTTGCATACACTATTTGGCCTTTGACAGAGAAAGTTGTAGCTCCTTGGCTGAGTCCAATACACCCTCTCTGTACAGTGACACAGTGGCAGAAACGGAAGTCCAGAGGGGTGAAATGACTTGCTTCTGTTCAGTTAGTGGCACAGCTGGGACTAAGACAAGTCTCTTGAACAGTGCCCTTTCTGTCCAATCTTGATCTATTTATCACCAATGTAAAATGGCCTCGTCTGACCTAAGAAGCCACAGTAGGAGTCATTTTGCTCACTGATCATTTTGCCCCAAGAAACTTCCCCTTTTAATGATGAGCTACTCCAAAGAAGAAATAGTTATCTCAAAAGAAAAAGGAAAATTAATTAGAAGTCCCTTATATAAAAATTCTATTTCTTCACCAACTTTCAGGAATACGCATCTCCTGTATAACGTGCAGAAGAAGCAAGAACCACAAAGGGTAACAGCCAGTAAATGTGGAGTAGAGACCAAGATTTGCCTGTGATGGTGGGAAGGTGCTACCAGGATTAGTCAGGACCAGCTCTTTACAGAGATGCCCATGTGGGAAATGAAAAGTCACCTGGCCACGCAATGAAGTGCTTCCAGGGACGTGGAAGAGCTCTGGGACCAGAGGAAAGTTGAGGAAGTATGGTCCAAAGCAGAAGGATGGGGCAGAAACAGGATGGTGTCATGGACTGAACTCTGCCCCACCCCCAAATATGTGGTTGCAAATCCTGACCCCTATACCTGTAGTTAAAGAGCCCTGGTAACGCTAATGAGTAAGCACTGGACTGCTAACCTCAAAGTTGGTGGTTCAAAACCCACCAGCTTCTCTGAGGGTAAAAAGAAGGCTCCCTGTAGAGATGTACTGTCTTAGAAAACCTATGTAGAGTCGTGTATAAATTCGAATCCACTCGATGACAGTGGGTTTGTTTTTTGTTTGTTTGTTATACCTGTGGCTACAATCCCACTTGGGAATGGGTTTTCTTTGCTCTGTGAATGAGACCATATCCATGTAGGGTATGTCTTAATTAATCTATTTTGAGATCTAAAAGAGATTTAACAATCATGCCAGCAAGCAGAGATGGGAGAAGGCAGATGCCATACCTTATAAAGACAAGGGTGCAAAGATACAAACCATCGCTGGCAATCCTGGGCCTCGGTGTGCTCAGGAGAGGGGCCCTACTTCTCAGAGGCCTGGCAGCTTGGATCTCTGCTGACGCAAGTCACTGAGAGACTGACCAACCAGCTGACCAAGTCTGACTGTCCGGTTTTGCGCTGCTCTGATCATCTTACAGATAACCTAAGTGAATTCTCATAATAGCCCCAAACCAAAACCAAACCCAAACCCAACCCAACCAAACAAACCTGCTGCCTTCCCCTCAACTCTGACTCATGACAATTCCAAGTGTTACAAAGGTGACGCTCCAGGCCTTTCTTCTAAGGGGCCTCGGGGCGGATCTGACCTGAACTGTCAGCTTTTCAGGTCTCAGTCAAAAGCTTCACTGTTGTGGCAGCTGGCAGCCTGCTTTATAGGTGCGTAAATGGGGATCGTGACTTAAGTAACTTGCCGACAGTCACAAAAGCAGCAAGTGCTACTGACTCCAAAATCCTTTTTTTTTTTTTTTTTACTGTGTCTTGTGCTTGGCTAATGAGGAAGCCCCTCTAATAATTAAATCTGTACCTAAAAGAACAGTCTCATGAGTGAGTGAGTCCCCCACCAGGGAAGGCCTCCAGCAGAGGGGCCCCGGGAGCTGGCCGGCCAACTGGTGCAGTTGCTGGAGAGGGGTTGGTCCTGTGCTGTCCATTAGCTCTTACCTGTTTCTCCAGCTGGGCCTCCAGCTGGCTGATGAGCTCATCTTTGCCCTGCAAGGCTTTCAGCAATTCTTGGTATTTCCGATGCAGGCTGCCTGCTGAGTCTACGTTCTTCAGGTTGGACAGTTTCACCTTCTCTTCCATCACGCTCACCTGAAAAGTACCAAATGTTCATAGCACTGGGACTTTGTTGGGTGAACAAGCCAATAGGATGGGACAGGAAGGCCCTCTGATGTCCCAGCCTGATTCCCAGGCAGAGCCTTCGCCCAGAGGGCAGTGAAGGCCAAGGAGTTAAATGAATATTTATTATGCCTTTACCTAAATTAAAAAGGCATCGGTAGGGAAGAAACTTATTTGGATACTCTAAGCAAAACAAAACATAAAAGCGATTGGGTCTCAGGCAGCTTAACCCTGGAGTCCCAGTAGGAATTAGCTGGGCAGGGTAAATAGCCAGGAGCAGCTGTTGCAACCTCCGAGTGAGAAATTTACTGTTTTCTCAATGTACACTGGCTCCCCAGATTTCTTGATCCTCTTGAAGTTAGGTGGGGCCATGTAATTTGCTTTAGCCAATGGGTTCTGAGCGCTGGTGCACAGCTCTCTCCTGTCATGGCAACCACGGAGGCCGAGTGTTACAAATGGTCCAGCGAAGCCTCCTGAGCCTGACTCCCTGAATGACTGTGGAATGGAGTCCCTGGCTGGCCCTCAGTGGATCTGTGCCATGAGTAAGAACTTAATGTGATAAACCACTGAGATTTCAGGGTTAATGTGTTACCTCAGCCTAGCCTAGCCTATTTTAACTAATAGATTTATCCAAGTACTGCATTGACCCTTACCCAAAGATTCCTTCATTCCCATAGAAAGTTCCATGTACCGTATGTTTTCAGAAGGTAAATATGATGCTTTGTTTCCAGGCGTGTCCAATGGAAAGACCCAGGAAAGGGCAAAAATAACTTCCCTCCACATACCCCCACCATTACCTGGGTCTCGGCATTCTCTGCTCTCTGCTCTGCCTCCAACAGCCTCTGCTCCAGCTCTTGCATCTATTCAACCAGAGAGGAAGAGGAGATAGAGGCCCGGTTTTTCTACTGTGAACATGGCATTAGAACAACTCCAGGGAACGTTTGCTGACACTGCATGCAGATCCCACCGCTTGTTTGTCAGTGTGTCAGGGGGGCAATATCCCACCTGTATTTCAAACACTGGTGGAGCATCCAAGCGAACAGGTTTCAGCAGAGCTTCCAGACTAAACACAAACTAAGAAGAAGGAATAGGCTGTCCACTTCTGAGGGATTAGCCATTGTAAGCCTTCTGAATAGTAGTTTAACATTGGCAGAGGTAGTGCCAGAAGATGAGTCTCCAGGTTAGAAGGCACTTAAAATATAACTGAGGAAGAGCTGCCTGCTCAAAAGAGAGTCGACCATAATGATGTGCATGGAGTACAGCTTTCAGGATCTTTATTCGCAGATGGGGCACAACTCAAAATGAGAAGAAATAGCTATAAACATCCATTAGTCATCAGAATATGGAATGTATGAAATATGAATCTAGGAAAATTGGAAGTCATAAAAAAAAAACACCGAGAGAAATGTTAGAGTGCATAAAAATCGATATCCTAGGCATGAATGAACTGAAATGGACATTTTTGGTCCTTTTGACTCAGACAATCATATGGTTTACTATCCTGGGAATGACAAATTCAAGAGAAATGGCTTTGCATGCATATTCAAAATGAACATTTCAAGATCTATCTTAAAGTATAATGTTGTCAATGATAGGATAACAGCTCTGCCTGCAAGTACATCCAATTACTACAACTATTACTCAAATGTATGTACCAACCACCAAAGCTAGTAAAGAAGAAAGTTAAGGATTCTACCCACCTCTTCAGTCTGAAATCAACCAAACAGGTAATCAAGATGCCTGAAGAATTATGGCATTTGGAATGTAAACATTGGAAACGAAGTAGAAGGAACCGTAGTTGGAAAGTATGGTCCTTAGTGATAGAATCAATGCTGGAGTTTGCATGATAGAATTTTGCAAGACCAATGACTTTTTCATTATAAACACTCTTTTCCAACAATCCAAATGGCAACTGGCCACCTGGACCTCACCAGGTGGAATACACAGGAATAAAAGTGACTGCATCTGTGGGAACAGATGCTAGAGAAACACAGTGTTAGCAGCCAAAGTAAGGTCAGGGGCTGACTACGGAACAGACCACTAATTGTTCATATGTAAGTTCAGGTTGAATTGAGGAAAATGAAAACAAGTCCATGAGTGCCAAAATATGACCATGAGTCTATCCATCTGAATTTCCAGATCATCTCAAGAACAGATCTGATGCACTGAACACTAATGACAGAAGACCTGATGAGCTGTAGGACGGCATCATACATGGTGCCCGGCTATAAGAAGATATAGTGTCTGGGGTCTTAAAGGCTTGAAGGTAAACAAGCGGCCATCTAGAAGGGAAGCAACAAAGCCCACATGGAAGAAGCACACCAGCCTGTGCGATCACGAGGTGTCAATGGGAATAGGTATCAGAAGTTCAAAAGCAAGCATCCAAATTGATGTGAAGGAGCATGGACAAAATGGAGACCCTAAAGCCATCTGTAAGATAATGGGAGAGTCCCTCACAGATGGGCCATGCAGAAGGGATGATATAGCCAGGGTACAGTATAGCACTGCTCAAGCACATAGCTATTCTCTACTTCTTTAATATTTCCTTCCCCTATTATTATGGCCTTAGTTTTACCTCATTAATCCTGTTAGACCTGTGTATGCTCATGTGTATGATTAAGATCATTCGATGCATGAAATCTACATTAGATAAATCCTTCAGGAATTGTCACAGGAGTAATGATTCCCTGAGGGTACAGAAAGGGAGGAAGGGAAGGGGGATCTAATAGCAATGATGACTATATAACCCCATTCAAGGGAAATGAATAACAGAATGGCAGGTGAACAGATACACTGGGTGGTATAAGATACAGGGGGAGGAATAACAATCATATTTAATATAATAACAAGGTTCTTAGGGGTCAGGGTGGGGAAAGTGGGGGTAAAAGGGAGTTAATACCAAAGAGTACAAAAAGAAAGAAAATGTTTTGAAAATGATGGTGGCAACAATTGTACAATCATTACTTGATCTAATTGAACTATGGATTGTTATAACATCTGTAGAGCTCCGAATAAAATGGGGGGAAAATCATACATGAAGAAAGCAAAGCTCATTATATTAAGAAGTGAAGTATGAAAAGATCAAAGTGTTGAAGAGCAAGGCTCACTTTGAGGACTAAGGTGTGTTTGACCCAAGCCGTGCATGATAGTTTCAGCTGCTTCATATGTATGTGAAAGTTCGACAATGAATCTGGAAGACTGAAGAAGAATTAATGCATTTGAATTATGGGTCTTGGTGAAGAATATTGAAAGTACCAAAGGAACTTTCAGAAAGTACTAGGAGAACTGCCAGAAGAACAAACACATTGTCTTGAGCAAATACAGTTAAAATGCTCCTTAGAAGCATGAACAGCGAGACTTTGTCTCCCGGACTTTGGGCAGTTACCAGGAACAGGACATCATGCTTGGTAAAGTAGAAGGTAGCCAAAAAGAGGAAGACCTTCAAGGAGATGGACTGACAACACGGTGCTTGCAACAATGGGCTCAAACATAACACTGGTAGGAAAGCACAGGACAGGGCAGGGCTCGTCCTCTGTGCAGTGTTGGTAGGAGTTGGAACTGACTCACAGGCGCCTGACACCACCAGCATACAGAGCAGTTCAAACTGCCCATTTCAAGTTGGCCAAGTACCAAGGTAAAAATTTCCATGACAACTCTCCACTTCCCACCAAGGATGGATTGAACGTGTCGTCTCAAAGTTGGATTCCTAACCCCTATACTTATAGATGTAATGTAATATAACCTTCTATTCAGTGTAACTTCTCCCATTCCAATCTAATGTAATGCAGACAATAAATCAGATGGTCATACCTAAGTACGATGGATCCTAAATTTCTGATTTATATTAAGAGACATACTTGTAGAGAAAGATAGATACCATGTAAAGATTACCAAGGAACAGAAGAATGCCTGGAGCTACCAAAAAAGGAATGGCTCTGGCCAAGACCTTGATGTGGCCCTTCAGCCCCTAGAACTGTGAGAAAAAAATATCTTCCTTAAAGCCACCCACTGTGGCATTTCTGTTAGAGAAGCGCTAAAACAAATCCACCGCCAATGAATTGATTCTGACTTAAATCGACCCCACAGTATAGATTAGAACTGCCCCTAGGTTTCTAAGACTGTAAATCTTTACAAGAGTAGAAAGCGTCATCTTTCTCTGGCAGTGCAGCTGGTGGGTTGGAACTGCTGACCTTGAGGTTGGCAGCCCATTGTATAACCCGCTATACCACCAGGGCTCCCGAGATAATGAAGACTGACTCCTACAAATATACTAGAGGCATAATACCCCAGCCTGGGTCTTCTGTGAAGCTGAACGGGCTCAGAGCTCCTTTGGGTCTTATCTTCTCAGCTCCAGACCAGCCCTCCGCAGGCTTTTCCTTTTCCTTGGCAGCTTAACTTTCCCCAGCCGTCGACTTGATATTTACCAGTGAGCTGAGCAATTTATCCTCTTACCCACTTTCACATCAACTTGACAAAATGCATTTTTTTCCTGACTCAAGGACGAGAGGGAAGGAGTCCCTGCCTGGTGCTGAACAGTGAAAGGTGTTTCACAGGAGGAGGGGTTCCTTTGTCAGAACCAATGCCCCCCCTTTTCCTTGGGGCAGACTCTTCTGGGCCAAAGCAGACACAGATGCTTGCAGGGCAGGCTCTCTTCAAAGGAGAGTTGGGATTGCATTCAATTGAGCACCCAGGTAAATAAAACAACTTTACAACCCACATGACAAAAAGCACCGCTCCCCCCCATGCCTGCATCTCTTCCCTCCTCCTCTGCATTTACTAATCTTGATCTGGATGCGCCACCCCAGCCTGAGGGGTGGGTGGGTTCCAGCAGACTCCGTCATTAATCAGAGCTAGAGCCTCAGGCCTGTCCGAGAGGAGTCTCTACCTTCAAACTGTTGCTATTCTGCAAAGAAGGAGAAAACAGCATGAACCAGTGAGATGGTTGTAGGGGTGGCTGTCCCGTGCAAAAGAATTCACCTTGATGGGGGGATGGGAAAGACTCATTGCCATTGAGTCGATGTCCACTCATAGTGACCCTATAGGGCAGGGTAGAACTGCCCCTGTGGGTTTCTAAGACCAAAACTCTTTACAGGAGTTCAGAGTTTCATCTTTCTCCCTTGGTGGGGGAAGGGGTTAATATATAGTGGTTGTCCAACAACCAGGTTACTGGATAACCGTATAACTCTTCTTCATCTGACACCTGACTGACTGCCTGGGTCAATTAGGTTTTCTCCCCAGGAATCTAAAATATGGACTTGAGAGACCTGGAACGAAGGGGTTACACCTGAGAAGGCACCCCACCCACACAAGGCTTCAGTTGATTAGGACTCCTAGTGACCCGGAGTAAAATTGCTCCTTAGGGTTCCCGAGACTAAAGCTTTACAGGAGCATGTCCCCAAGCAGTGGGTGCTAAACAGTGGGTGCTGAACGCAGGATCCTTCTAATCAAGTCCGTTTGCTTATGCTAACCAGAGCTCATTTCCTTGATCCTCTTTTTTTTTAAGTGACACAAATTTAGGTGCACAATTCAGTGACAGCAACTACAACCATCCTGTTATGTCACCACCACCCATCACTGTTACCCAATTCCCATCACCACAACAGAGTTGGTTTCTTTGTCTGCATTAGAAAGCACTCAAACCACTGCAATGACCAAAAGCATTTTATTTTAGAAATATTTAATACAATTAAATATTACATGGAAAGGCCCTGGGGTCTTGACACGTTTCCCAAATTGACCTTCAGCTGGACTATTTCAAGCTCTTATCCACTCTGCAGCCCAGGAGAGGCAGAAGCTTCCCCTGAGAAATGGTCATTCCTGCTCTTGACCTTCTGCAGTGAACATCGGATGTTTTAGAACT